AGTTGAAAACTAGATAGTGCACAAACCTAGGGTAAAACCACATATTACTTGTCTAAGTAAAAATTGTTCTGATAAAAATTTGCACTGACTGTCAATTCCTGGGAGAGGTAGCTGTGCCATTTGTTGTTCAGTCTCTGAATAATGGGAAAGTACAGGGCTTGTCTCAAGTCCTGGCTAGAGTAGTCTTTGAGGCTGGATCATCTCAGCTAGCCACCTCAAAATTGTTCTGAGAAGTTTGTAGTCCAAAAACCTAACTTTAGTCGGTGTTGTTCAGCTTAGTGATGTTATCATAGTCCTGATGGAATCGTCATTGTGGGCTCTGTCTTCTTTTTGGAGACTTTAGAAATCACATTAGGTCAGATTAATTTTTTTCTTGGTAATTTTTTTTCTGGTATGTTCTCCTTTCTTCCTGAAAAGAAAAAAACAACCTTCCCCTACCCTCACTTTGGGAGGTTGTAATCTAATCTTTATCAATTTTGGTTATGTTTTCTCCTGTAATTTTTAACTTCTATAGCTGTTCTATCATCCAGAGCAGTATGATTTCTTATAGTAGGAATTATGTTATTTAATTGATCTGAGAAGAAGTTTCCTTCATGATAACAGGTAATGACCAAACTGCATTTGGCATAGAGGCCTGGGAGAGGCCTCTCAAGGAGTTTCCTGGTGGCAAATTATTTTCTTTGTCACACCTTCTGCCTAATACAGAAGAGAGGGGTGTTCTGTTTGCATTTTGGTGGAAAATTGCTTCTAGGGATGCCCTGTTTACAATCCCTTTTAAGGGGAACTTGTTTGCCACAGTTGGAACACTTGATATTTGATTTTTCTTCAAATCTGTGGAAATCATCTCTTTTATCCATGCATCATCATGGTCAGGAGATTTAATATTAATTGTATTTCAGACCCATTCATCCAAAGGTGCTGTCCTTGCCTTTAGCAGCCTAATTGTCCCTTTGCATTGAGAATAAGCCTTTTCAAAACCCAGAGATTCAAAATAAAATAAAAAATAAAAAAAACAGAAAGAAATTGTTCTGATAAAATTGCCTCTTTAAGGATATTCTGATATACTCATACATGAGGAAGTTATTAAACCATCACAAGAGAGACTACCTCCTGTAGGCAAATAGAGCAAACACATTGACCACAGACAGATATTATGCAGAGAGAATGAGAGACGTCTGAACACACATCTCTAAGTAGGATGTATCTATTATATTCCTCCAATCGGAGCTCAAGGAACACCTCAGAAAAGGAGCTATCATTTTTATGGTATTTCTGTGTCTGGGAATTAGTGGCCATATGTTTTATGGGTTTCTCTTGGTGTTCTTTCCTCATGTAGTTTGCCTTGTCCAAGATTGAGGTAGTAGGCTCTGTTTTATCTTGTACTGATTTTGATTAAAAAAGTCTCTGTAATAAAATATATGTAAAAGTTGTTCTTTTGCTTTCAATCTTGGAAGACATAATTCTTTCTTTTCAAAGATTTATTCATCTTACTTGTAAAAGTTCAGAGAGGTCAGAATAGGTAGATGGATTCTCTAGATCTAAATTTATAAATGCTTGTGGACCTCCATTTGGGAGCTGGGAATGGAACCCAGGTCCTCTGAAAAGAGAAGTCAATGCGTTTGACCACTGGGAGCATCTCTCCAGCCCCAGTAATACTCATCTTTACAACAAGTAATATATTTTTATTATCCTGTTTTAAAGTATAGTAAACTTTGTGAGTATGAAATGGCATTCAGTTGCTTTAGTTATCACGAACTGAATACTAGTTTCAATGAGAGTCCATCATCATAGTGAGAATGTATAGCATCAAAGGATGACAAAATTAATAAGCATGTGGGAGTTTGGGGAATCCCCTGAACATATCTAGTGAGCGTAGAAACTGAGGCAGCTGTGTAGTCAGCAGTATACAGATGTCTTTGGTAATAAGTGTCCAACTATGTTATAGTCCATCTCTATTTCCAAGGGGACTTTCTGAAGCTACTTAAGGCAGCATAGCACACACACACTTGCCTGTCCATGTTTTTTACAGCGTTGTTCAGAATATGGAAGATATGTAATCACACCTGATGCTTGCCAACAAATAAGCAAATAAAGAAATGATCTCATCAGGCAAGTGTTGGTAGCACACACCTTTAATCCCAGTACTGAGGAGGCAGAGGCAAGTGGAACAGTGTGAGTTCCAGGCCAGCCTGGACTACAGAAAGACTTCTGGGACAGGCTCCAAATCAATACAGAGAACCCCTGTCTCGAAAATCCAAACCAAACAAATAAATGAAAGATATGATTTTTGCTTTTATTATTTTACTTTACACATACATAGACATTATTGCTATCTACAATGCATTCTTAGTATTTTGACAGTTTTATTCCTCAAATTAACTATTTACTATATATATATAGTAAATTTTACCTGTCATAACACCAATTATAGAGAAGTTTAAATAAACAGCTTCTATCTAATTAGTAATTGACCGAATTAAAGAAAAAGTTGTAGAATAATATTCCTGGCTTCAGGCTTTTATGACACATGTTAGAAGCCATATTAAAAGCATGGAGAGGTTTTATATACATACAAAAGAGTAGCTCTCGGCCTGGAAGTATTAAGTGTTGTCATTAGAGTATTAGGGGATGGAACAGGAATTAATCTTGTTAATCACAGAAGTCAAACTGGTTGTTGGTCTGATTGACTGTCAAACCATCTGTGTGTATGTTGTCTGTCTGAGGGTGTTCACATACACATATCTTACACAAATAAAGACAGGTATTATTTGTCCACTGAAGAGTCTTGACAGAATTGGGGTTGGGGTATCATGTGAAGTCTGTGGGAAGAAAAATACATAAGAAAATATCCCCAGTACCCTCTCCCACTGACATTTATGATCCTAGAATGCAAAAAAAAGCATAGTTGACAAGGATAATGCCATAAGAGTTTACACATTGTACACAGGGTCACTTCAAACTTATTAACTGCTACTAATACACTCAGCACAAAGCTTCTTTGAGCCACTACAGGAATGTAAAGGAGAAAACAATGTAGAAATCAAATATTCAGTGGAAGAAATTGGTCATCACAAGGTGTCTGTAAAACTGAGAATTACAGAGGAGATCTAGGTTTGGAACTCCATTTCTCAGTTTATCTTCTCATTAATAATGATTGGTTGAGAGGAGGAGGATAGGTCTTATGTAGTGTTTGAAATAAGGCACGAGGTCTGAGTTTCTTTCTGAATGTTTTTGAATATTTAAAACTCAACATTTAACATGTAAATGAACTGTGATTATGTAAGGAGCTTGGGAGGTTGGGATACAAGAGTATTCAGGAAGTTTTGTGACTTGACCTGATTATTGCTTATCTAGACAATGGAAGCACGGGTTTTGGTTGGATATTCTGTATCTGTCACTGGTGTAACATAGGTCACAGTGTAGATACTCAGGAGATATCTAATGATAAAACATTTAGACTTTCTCACACTGTCATGGCCTTGGTGATGCAATTTCAAGTGAATAACATGAATTCTGACTTGTATGTCATTCTTAAACCATTAATTTATGGATTCACTGTGAATCATCTAAGAAAATCCACTGAACTTATTTTTAATACTGTCCACATAAATCCATATAGTCTTGGGAGCAAATTTCCTCTGTGTGTCATCCTCTAAGGGGCCTGATATCCACAAACATGAGTTGTATCATACAAGGAAAGACTGAACAATCCCCATATGTTCATATAAACGCATGTTTTTCACATGAACTGTGGACCTCAGATGCAGAGCCCCAGGGAAGAGAGTGTTCAAGATTCCTCCAGGGTGAAGAAACACCTGGGGAAAAAAGAATCATGGATACCCAAACATCTTCTAAATTTGCCAAGAAATAAAATCAGGTAGGAATAAATGGGTGCCCATTTAATGGGCTTATCTACACGACACTTCATAATTCACACTGCCCTGGTATAGCAAAGGACAGAGATGCTCGTTTTGATTTTCCACTTGCTGCTTCTGAACATTCTACTTCTCATGGTCAGGTTCATTCACCCCAGGTGTCTTTGGAAAATGAAGCAGAATGAAGACAAGGATGGAGACTTGAAGACAGGTTGTGTCTTCCGTCCCACAATAGTCCATGGGCCAGTGGAGACGGAGTATTTCAACAATATTTTGAATATACAGTAAGACTTTTTAATTTTCTATGATAATGGAATCATGACTACCTCATGATTCATCTTCAGACTTCTTTCCTGTTCTTTCAATATCCACATCAAAAATGACACCAAATTCTTTAAGAGACTCATTGATATTTTACCATTTTTTAGATTGTTCAGTGTGGGCTCTGTTTTTGTTCCAGTCATCTATCACTTACAAGACTGAAATTGTAGTGAAGGAAGCAGTCTCTTCTGTGATCTGTCACATAAAGCATACCTCTTGGCATTGTCCATAGCAAAGTAACCAGTCAGGTCTCATCAAAAGAAACCTGGTAGTGTAACTGTAAAGGTTACACTAAAAGGTTACTGTAAAAGTTAAAGTGTAACTTCTAAAGAAGTTATCTAGTTATGTTGTTGAAATAATATGATGGTCAGAAATGTCCAGTGTCATATATGACAAGCCTATGCAAACATGAAATAGCTGACCAATACTGTAAGTGGTACAGGCCCTTAATCACTGCACGCAGGACATACAGCAGGTGAATTCAGGTGCATTTGACACTAGTCTGGACTAAAGAAAATTGAAATTCAAAAGCCTCAGATCTGTGCTATTTGTGGGCATTTAATCCTGACATACATGAAGATCAATACAGAAATTCACATTATTTTACCAAATATGTCTTTTGTGCTTGAATTTATTTAAAAATAAATACTGAAAAACATTATTTGCCTGAAATAAATAATCCTCAAAGAAAGAAGAGAACAAGATGGAGATGGACATAAGGGGATATTTTAGTTATGTTACCCACTAATAGTAATGAACTGTAAGTCCATAGCCAAATGTTGTGCCATAAAGTCCATTGTGTTATCATCAGTTGTTCTTTGACAGCCTTTGCCAGTTCATTAGTTTTCAGAAGAAAATGATATAAACTGTTTTGCTAACACATGTGCACTTTTATGTTACTCTATACTTTCAAAGGAAGATGATCATGTTTACTATTTGGTCAAAGCCTGTGCCCTGGTCTTTACATTCCAAGGAAGCACTCACAAACTAGAGATGGAAAGTGTTTTATAAGGAAGATTCCACGGGCACATATCATTTAGGGGAGACCCAGATTGATGTATTTTGAAGGTTTTGCAGGCTTCCAGGTTATTATGTGTTTCCAACATGACAACACAACATATTTGATTCAATATTTGAGGACGGTTGGGTATACTTTTCAGAACAAAATAGTCCTTGTGTTAATCTCTGTCCATATTAAACACTTTACACTTTTACAGATCAACACCTGAGAACTACAAGTATGCACTGGCTTTGGCTTATACCATGGATGAGGTCAATAGGAAACCTGATCTATTACCAAATATATCTTTAGTATATGATTTCTCAGAAGATAATTGTATGAGTTGGTCGCAAGTGTTCACTTTCGATCAAGATATAGAACAAGATCATGATAATTTACCTAATTATGCATGTGACATAAATATCATATGTATTGTGCTGCTTACAGGACCAAACTGGGAAACATCTGCGATATTTAAGATATTTCTAGAACTCTACAAATGGCAACAGGTAAGGTTTTATGGGTGGCATTTGACTGAAAAACTGTCCCCATTGATACCATTCTCAGATACTAAAAACTGTGTTAGGACTGGACTAGCTTTAGATTTATATCAGTCTGTGTAGTTCATGAGTACTATTCAGAGCATGATGTGACTTCCACATTTCCTTGTTGAAACAGAGATGTGGGAAGAAGCAATAGCTTTATATATTGGGTAAGAGTTTTTTTCTAGAACTTTTTGCAGAAAAAAAATATGGTCACACATTCTTAGGAGTGCATGGTACCTCACATTGCTCCCTGCATCCTAGGTCATACAGCTTACCTATGGACCCTTCCATCCAATCCTGAGTGATCAGGAAAAATTTCCCTATCTGTATCAGATGGCCCCCATGGACACATCTCTAGCCTTGGCCATGGTCTCTGCCATACTTCACTTCAGCTGGAACTGGATAGGGCTGGTCATCTCAGACAACGATCAGGGCACCCAATTTCTCTCATATTTGAGAAGAGAGATGGAAAAAAGTACAGTCTGTCTTGCCTTTGTCAATAAGATTCCAATCAACAAGCAGTTATACATGTCAAGAGCTGAATTGTATTATAACCAAATAGAGACATCATCCGCAAATGTCGTTATCATTTATGGTGACCCAGACAGCACTCTTGCTGTGAGCTTTCAAATGTGGCAATCCCGAGGTTTACAGAGATTATGGGTCATCAATTCACACTGGGATGTGATTACAAGTAAAAGAGACTTCATGCTTGACTCATCCCATATGACTCTAGCCTTTGCCCACCATCATGGTGAGATTTCTGGCTTTAAAAATTTTTGCCAGCCAATAAACTCTCTCAAGTACACAGATGAATACCTTGCAATGATGGAATGGATGAACTTTAACTGTGACATCTCCACATCCAACTGTAAGACACTGAGGAACTACTCATCAAATTTGTCAGTGGAATGGCTAGTGGCACAGACTTTTGACATGGCCTTTAGTGATGGCCTTTATGACATATACAATGCTGTGTATGCTCTGGCCCATGCACTGAATGAGATGGCTATTCAACAAGTAGAAACTCAGCCAATGGGTAATGGGAAAGGAGACCATTCTAACTGCTGGAAGGTACTATGTCTTCTATTGGATGATGTTTGTTGTCATTAATAACATATATTTCGGAGTCTTTAAGATGCCCCAATTCAGTGGACTAGGAAGTATTTCCCCAAATGAAAAGTTGCCTGAGCATATTTTTCTGCTGAGGAAGTAAAACTAGAGGTTGGCAGCAATCTCTAATGCAAAGACAATAGAGCAAAGACACAATGCATCAAGTAAATCAGTGATTTAGTTACCAAGCATTGGTATCATCACCCCTGTTCTAATGCTGTATACATATCAGCCCTTTCTCATGAATCTTCTCTGTGATTAGATGAGATCTTTTTATATTATGTGTTAAATAGGTGATAATGAATGTAGGGGATGATTTTCATAAGTGTTCTCAATTGAACCTTCTCCTATTGTCAGCTCTGGAGAACTCAGTCAGCATTCTGAGCATAATTACACAGGCCATAGTTCTTTGATTCAGAATTGTACATATAAGTGCATTCATGTTTGTGAATGTGTGTTTCTCACTCTATATGTGTGTATGTTTGTGTTTTTCTGTGTATCTGTGTGTGTATATGCCTTGATATGTGTGATTTGATAAGTATCTGTCTGTCATCCTGGTACTGAGAATAAATTTGTGTTACTCTATGTGTGTTTTTTTATGTTTATCTTTCTTTGCATATTTGGTAGTGAATATGTCTATATGTGCCTATGTGTGTATTTATATGTATTTACACATATGTATGCCTATATTGTTTTATCTGTGCATCTGTCTGTCTGTCTTTTGATATAGGCAAAATTTTTTGTGTTATTGCCTTTCTGTGTTGGTGTGTGTGTGTGTGTGTGTGTGTGTGTGTGTGTGTGTGTTATTGATGGATGTGAGTCTCTATCTCTGTATGATATATACATATATATATATATATATATATATATATATATATATAT